AGATCAGCTTTCAAATCAGATAAAAGAGAATTAATGGCCAAAGTGACTTTAGGAGACCAACCCATCCATGAACCCGTATTTTTCTGCCTCACTCTATACCCAGCCTTGTGTGATGCACAGGACACTTTGGGGTAAATCTCCTTCCTACTGAAAAAAGAGTCCACACCTGCGCCCAACCCACTACCACACACGCGTTGGCCACGGCTTCCCCGTCCCCGAGTCTGACACAGCTCCCAGCTGATATGAACAGAGGTACCATGAACAAAGGGACAACTGCAGAAATTTTTTTCGGTCATAGTAAAGGATGCTTCATGGCTGCAAAAGTAACCGCCGAAGCTCCTTAAAAATGATTCACATGCTGGTTCTTTGGCAAATAACTCGGCCTCGCTCTATTCCTGGGTCATTTTCCCAGTAACATAAAAGAGTATCAGAAAGGACACGTTCGCTGATTGGCAGAGACTTAGCAACCTCGGGGCACTTTCGAAGTCACTTATAAATGTCCTAACACTTCCTAGAAAACGTTAGCATCACCAGTGCCTTTACTGTAGGACTCCAACTAAACTAGGCATTGTCAAGGGCTCTTCCCTCGTGTCGCTCCCCCTCTCGGTCAGATCCCCTAAGACCGCAATGAGTCACAGAGGAACAGAGCGAGCATTTGCCTATGTTCCAGCCAAACTTTATTTTCATCTTTCATCAATATATTTGAAGGAAAAAAAGGAGGGGAAAGGGGACAGAAGGAGTGGGTCCAATTATCCCATCCGCTCTAAATTTTCTTCCAGATGCCAAAAGAATCCATTGAACAATTGAATAAAGGGCTCGTTGATATATTGGATGGCTGACCAAACTGTAAACTGTGGTTAGCTACAGTTGGGCTTGCATGCTTGAATTATGGAAACTCATGTTTTAATATGGTATTTTAAAACCATATTTAAAAAATATGGTGTGTGTGTGGGTAATGCCTTTTAGAAACTCACTACTACAATGAAATTACACTCAATGGGGAAAAATGCATGGTAAAATCCATCCAAACACATATGACTCCAAAGAAATATGAAGACAAGCCAACAGTTGTGAAAACACACAGACATCTTGTAGTTATCCTACTAATAAAATGAAAAAAAAAATACTCTGTTACCTCTGAAAAGTACTTGCCATTCACATCATTTCTCATAATCTTCCAGACAGGGGTGAAATATACTTTAGCACTCTTTAAAAATATTATCAGGGTTCAGAGCAGTGAGATTCACTTATTCACTGGTAACAATCTGAAGATTTAAGCCGACTGCATGCTTGCTTTCACACTTCTACCCAATATACGTTCAAGTGCAATTTTAATTGAAACTGATCTTCCACTTCAGATTTTAAATTAATTCTTCTTTGGAGTGCTTCATGCCCCAGACACCCTTGCCTTGCAAAAACCCCTATGTCATTAGTGCAGGAAATAGAACACTTTTTCCAAGCTTGCAAGTATCGATTACCCATTCTCACACTGAAGCACCATTGCCAGTCCACACTGTATAAATCTCTTCAGTGTTAAAGACACTTTACAAAGGACTGAGAATTACACTATTAATCATTTCCAGTTGCACGAGGCAGCAAATGCTTTGTTTTTCAGAACTTTGAATAAATGCCTTTAAGTAAAAAACATGACACTAAATAAAGACTGTGGTTAGCTTACACCTAGTTTTGAGGGGAGTAAAAACAATCAGTAAGAAGCCTTCCTCTCTCAGGCCTGACATTACTCATCTGAAAGAAGAAGAAAGAGACGTGTGTGTTTTAGTTTCCTCTTACTGACTCTTTCTTCGAATACGTGCATTTTGGCAGCTGGACCCATTCTGAAGAGCCCACCAAGGCCAACAGGACAACCTAACATGCAAGGCTACCTTCTCAAAAGGGAGGCACAGGGCTCAGGGGTAGAAACCACAGGGCGGTTTGGCTGCCAAAAGTAATTTCCCATTCACCTGCTGAGAGTCTGGGAGGAATGAGGTCTTGATGGACACACACACTGCCGGCATGTTAGTACCACGGAAATCTAACAGCCATTCTCAATCTACGATGAAAAATATTCTCTTCTGAATGAATTCAGTGAATGCATGTGAAATTCCTGGCTGAAGGTCTGATCTCAGACTAAATGACTTCTAGTGAGGGAGGCTTCCATGAAAAATACACTAGGTTGTGTACTTTCCTGGCAATGGGTTCTTATTTTCCTATGGACATCTTATCACGAATGTAATTTATTCTTTACTCCATTAACGTCTGGCTTCCCTACTAGCTCATTTCTCTGTGAGAACAGGCTTCATCTTTGTCTTGTTCAACTGTATTCCAGGACCCAGCACAGAACCCTACACACAGTGCATCATGGTTATGTGTATTTTTGGCACAAATGCATGAAGTGGAAGATGAGATTAAAGGGTCTTCCATAGTTCTGGCTTCTAATGACACAACACTACAGCATGTTTTCTGTGCACTGTTTGGGTTTGAATTTTATACTTCTATCTGCTGACTTCTTACTAAGACTTTGCACTCCCCTGGTCTCAAGAGTCAGGATGTCAACTTCAGAAGGAAGTATGCCTTCCTTTCTTTATTAATACGTTAAATTAACCTGAACAGTGATACGACAAAATAAGCTACAAATACGTGATGTGCATGATAGAATCTGTGTGCAAACTTAACAAGCCCACCAAGGGCAATTATGGTTTCTAAAAGAAAGGAATGTGATAGAATTTAGCTTTCGGTGCCCTTTGGGAAGCACAGTTATTTCTAAGACTGAATTTTTCTTCCTATGCTTTAACAGAGCTCTCTAATCAAAGAAGGTCAATCAAGAAGGAAGACCAGCCTCGTTCATCAAGTCATCACAGTAGTCATTTCAATACTGACTCAACACTTGCTCGGTACCAGGCTCAGTGCTAAGAAATGCGTGTCAGGGGACAGAGCTGCCACAGTTCCCTTGGGTGACTTAAGCTGCCTGTGGCTCAGTGGAGGAAAATCAGCGGTGTCGGTATCGACGGCGGGGGTTGCAAGGGTCATGTGAGAGAATCCACGTACAGTACTTAGAACAGCACCAAACAAAACAAACTCCGCCAGAGGTGGCCGCTATGATTACTGCCATCATTACTGTGTTCTAGAATATGAAGCAACCCTCTGAGAACCTGACTATACAGTGGACGAAACAGCAGTGCATTCCAACTGAGGACTAAGGCGGGTGGCTGCAGGCATCTTGTGATATACAGAGTGAAGGGCCCCTCACCTCCACAAAGATAGGACTTCCAGAGGAGATGACATCTGAAGGAAATCACTCCCTGAAGATTAGAGGGAAGTTTACTAGGTCTAGGCACTTCCCCCACTTGGGCAGAAGACAAAGAGTCAAAAGTGCAGCTGACCCTTCACGAGGTGAAGTTCAATCCCAATGCCCGAAGCATTTAGCAATGAGCTTCCAAAAATGGAGTAGAAGATGACAAAAAAGGCAAATTCCCAGTGGAGCAGCCCAGTAAATAGCACCTTAGCCAAGTGAAGGTTTATTTGTTTGTTTGTTTGTTTATCATTGTATTACTTAATTATTTTTT